ACACACACACACACACACACACACACACACACACACACACACACACACACACCTGAATCGCGGGGTTCTTCTCCCTGCAGGCTGCGGTGTCTTTTCTAATTTCGCGTGGCTGAGCATTGAGTTCTCAACGGAATACAAGTGTGGTGATGTCACCACACTTGTAATCCATTAATTCTTCCTCCTGCCCATATTACTGAATGTCTATACGTTGGTATGGACATGAATAGGACAAAGACTCTGCAGGAACCAGAGCATTGCATCTGCGATCTACTGAACAATGCTTTACTGGCTCCAATGCAAAAAAATAAGTGCACATTTTTACCTTCATGAAGAAGTGTGCATTATTTTTTTCCCAAAAAGTGCACTTCCCCTTTAATGTTTATTTTACAACAACACACTACAATAATAGGACTCAGTAACCATTAATTTGTCTATTTAGAAAATACACAGGAGGTGACAGTCCCTGTTTAAATTTTAAAACGTACGATTTGCCCAATAGCGTCACATCTTTAAATTATTTATTTTTTCCTCTTTTGTCATCCATGGGAAGATGTGGCCAAGAGCATTTACTACAATGTATTCAAATTAGTACCAGTTAAAAGTGATCTGACATATGTGAATACCCTTCAGCTTATTACTGGAATAACTCTGCTTTTCACAGAGCTCTCCAAGTCATATCATTGCTACAGGATTTGTGTAGTTTTATCAGGAAAAGCATTACACAGAAAGACCAGTCTGGAAAATAATGCATCCAATCACTGGTGGCAATAAGCAGCTCTATTAACATATACCGTATGCTGCCAAAATTCCACTGAATCTCCTCTCGCATTGTATCCGTACGTTTTCATTAACTAAACTATATCTGAATATTAAAAGACAAAACAGAAGCTAAAAGTGATCAAGTCATCCTATTAGATGAATTGTGACGGTGCTGAATAACCAGATCTGCTTAAAACAGGGGTGTACAAATTAGTATGGAACCCAGGAGCCAGTCTATCCAATCCAGGAGCCAGCGGGATATATTTTTACATTTCTTTTGTATTTCTGGGAGCCAGCCCCAATAACAAAATCTATTGAAAACCTCCAAAGTTAGGTGCCAGCTGTAATTTGTAAGGGGCATTCACTACCCGACACCTGGGATTTGTCCAGCCCTGGCTTTGAACCACTGGGGTTCAAGGACTCTGCAGATTAATCTACTAGAAACACAACAGGGTTTCTTGCCTATTAATGAAACATGCAACCAGACCAAACCAGAAAAAAAAATAAAAAAATGTATTGTTATGGCAGAAATACTTCAGCTTCAATTGTCCATCTTTTTGTAAATCAGGCTTTTTCAACCAGGGTTCTGTAGAACTCTAGGACAGCTTTTCTCATCCAGGGTGCCATGGGCCTTGGGTGCCTTCAAATTTTCCCTACAGGAGGAACTCGAATGTGAAGGGGGCTCATGATCTAAAAGGGGCTTTTGATGTGAAAGGGGGAGGGACTCTGATGTAAAAAGGGCTCCTGATGTCAAGGGGCTTCCAATGTGAAAGGAAAAACTCCATGTTGAGTTTTTGCCTAGGGTCCCCCCTTTAAAATCCACCAGACCCCTGTCTAGGATAAAGGTTTGGTATCAACTGTTCAGGGCAGGACTATGTGCCTTTTTGTTAACATTTTAGACTGGTGTGCCTCAAGATTTTGCATACTTTTAAAAATGTGCTTTGACAAAAAAAAAAAAAAAGAAGAAGGTTAGGGAACACTGCTCTACGGTTCCTCCAGTTTGCTAGGTGGTTTCTTGAGCAGTGAGGGATTGATCTTCCTCCTACAATGACCACCAATGTAAGGGGGCAATAATCCACTGACATCCAATGTAAGGGATCACTGACCACCAATGTTAATGGGCTTTTTCACACACAACCAATATAAGGGGGCACTACACTGAGCAGCAAATGTAAGGGGGGCACTACACTGAGCAGCAAATGTAAGGGGCACTTATCCACTGACCACTAAGTGCACACTATACTTTTCACAGCCTGAGTTTCTTTTTTGGATGTTATTATTTGTTTTATATTTACATTATTATCATATAGAGTGGGGGTTGTTGTAAAGTTAACTTAGCTCCAGATGCCAAATTCTCTAGGTATGCTACATTCTTTTATTTAAATCTTCCAACAATTTATTGCTTGTGCTAATGTACAAAAATGTTTTTATCAGGGGTTCGCTGGGACATGAAAATTTATTTCAAGGGTTCTCCCAGTAGAAAAGCTGCTTTAGATGGATACAATAACTGATAAACTTGAAAAAGCTGAATATTGAACTAATCCCAGTTATCCAAGTGCACATGGTGTGCATGCCAGGGTTTGAAGTGGGATGTTCCTGCCGGTGCTGACAAACAGGTAGATTAAAGTGTAAGGTGGGGGCGTAAATGTGAAAGGGGGGGCGCTCTGATATTAGGGGGACTCTTGCGAAGGGGGAGGGACCTTTTTAAAAAGGAGGGAGCTTCTGATGAAAATAGGAGCTATTTATGTGAAGGGGGACATTAATGTGAGAGGGGGATTCTGATGTGAAGGGGGGACTCCTGATTTGAAGAGAGGACTTTGATGTGAAGAAAAGAAACCCACTTTTTGGTGTTTTTAGACTGCGGTGCATACGTTTAAAGTGACAATAAAGTTATACAGTTAAATCTTAAAAATGCATTTAAGCACCCTATTAACAAAACTGTATTTTATTTGTTTATCACTCCGCTGTAGATCCTTAAATCATCTCTGAAATCATACAGACACCGTCCTTCCTTCTGGAGGGTGGCTACTTTTGTTCCCCATTGTCCCTGTGTACGTTGTAAAGTAGCTACTGTTGCGACCCCACTCCCAAATTATTTTGCTAATTTGTATTGAGATTGTAGTCCCTCACAGGAGTGAGCTTGGAGCAGCGGCTACTTTACAACACATCTGGGACCATGGAGAACAAAAGTAGCCACCCTCCAGAAGGGAGGACAGTGTCAGCACCAATTCAGAGATGATTTAAGGATTTGCAGTGACCATTTTAATAACGTTTAGAAGCTATGTCACACTAAGTGCATTCTTAGCCTCAAAATGGGTCAAACCATCTTGCGTGGCAACAGTGTGAACAACAATTACCTATTAGGGATGTACCGATATAATTTTTTTCAAGAAGTACTTTCCCTCAGGTGCGCGCAGACCAATTACCGATAGTTTTTCTTAAAGGGACACATTACATTTTTTCTAAAACAATACAGACTAATGATTTTAGGGGAGTTTCTTTATAATTATGAAGAACTGTAACTCAATCCATGAGCATACTTGTCCCGATATAAAAAATAATTTGAACCCAAACCGTATTTAACTGTGCTAAGAAGCGCTTCTCATTAGCGTGGCCACCTGACCTGACGCAGTACCCCATACTGACTGGGGTACAGGCAGTACACCCGTACCAGGCGGAGGGGAAGGAACATTGAAGGCAAGTATAGCGAGGGTCTGCCCCACTACCATACTATAACAATTTGGCACAATTATTTTTTTAACCTTTTTTAATTTTATTATTTTGTATTTTTAATCACTTTTTTTTTTTTTTAACCTAAATGTATTTATATCACATCGGGGTTAACAAGCCCCTATGTGATATCATTCGGAGGCGACAGGCTCTCTTTGTGAGCATTGTGCTCCATCTTCTGTACAGCTCGGGTTGTGACAGTTGACACAGGAATAGAAGTCACCAGCACTCAATGATATGTGCAAGAAGTAAAGCACTTTTTACACTGCTCTACAAGCGATCTGGGTGGATCACTTGTACAAAAACGAGCAGCCTGCAGCTATTTAAAAACTTAAAGCGCTGGCATAGGCACGTATCGGTGCATCTCTAATACCTATATGTGTGTCAACATAATCAACTTATCATATCCAATTTTAAATAAGGATAGTAACCAAACAGGTCAAGGTAAATTCAGCTTGAGCATGAGCAAATAGTTTATTGATTATGTTTGTTGCAGGTCCACTTAAAAATGCCCTTCCAAAAAACATGGCCTCACCATATCTGCACTGCACAATAGGCAACACATGAAACACTAACCTTTAGAAGGTTCCTAACATCTTCTTTGGAAGATAATCGATCTATACGAGTAATCCTATATTCCAACCACTGTTGTACAATTGCCTTCTCTTCCGCTGAAACACCAAGGAGTTCTTCTTTTTTGGCCTCAGCAACTAAATGGGAAGCGATAGTGGCAAGTCCCACCAAGCTAGGGCCTTTATTGGTTTGAAGCACGGGTATCTGTGAAAAAATGATTCAAATAATTTTATTGATTAGGTTACAGCACATTTTCTTTTTCTTCCCCTTTTCAAAACGTAGAATATAACTTACAATGACTACAATTAACCCTTTCACTGCCAAGGCCTTTTTTTTGCACACATGATAATCCACATTTTAGGCGTAAACATTACTTAAAACTGAAACGAAGCTAAAATAAAAAAAAATTGTCAGGCCGAAACCGATACCGTAAATGTTTTTTATTTTCAAATATTTTGTTTTTATATAAACTTTTACATTTTTTTATCTTTATTAATTCATTTAGTATTAAATATTTTAATTTTTTACTTTACTTTTAGGGGCTTCGGGGAAATATTAGAAGTCTAAACAGACCCCTGATATTTACCTTTTAAAATAAAAAAAAGAGATTGAGGACACAGAGTCCTCAATCTCTTTTTCTGTGTCCCCTGTTATAAATGAACAGGAATCCTCTATACTGAGTGTTCCTGTTCATTCATAACATGAGAACATTGTGTGTTTACTATAACTACAACTATGAATGAACATGGAGGTGATGTAGATTACTTCCCATTCATTCATAATTGAGGATATAGTACACATACCATGTCCTCAATTATCTACAAACACTCAGCGATCACTGAGTGTTTATACCTGGCTCTCCTCTCTGACACGCTGTCACAGGAGGCTGATTGAGCGGTGCAGGGAGGAGAGCTCAGCCTCCTGTGACAGTGCAGCTGTCTCCGCCCACACACCGCTCTGCCGGACTTTGATAGGAGGCTGAGCGGTGTGGGAGGAGACGCCGGCCGCTCACAGCGCTCTCGTCCCGCATCGCTCAGCCGGCTATCATAGTTTCTCTCCTCCCCGCTGGGACACAGAGTAGCACCCAGCGGGAACAAAAGAAAGCAGGGATGCGCCGATGTATCGTCAGGAAAATAGCACTTTCGTCATTACGCCAAAAGTGCAATTTTCGGCCGATATATCGGTGCATCCCTACTTAAAACCCCCAAACATGATATATTTTCTGAAAGCAAAGACCCTGTAGAATGACAGTTGCAAATGTTTATGTCTCACAATATTAGCACAAGTCTTTATCAAACCCCAAAACTTTGTAAAAAAATGCACTTGCATTAATTTTAGTACCCAAAAACACAATACCCATTTTTTTGTAAAATATAAAAGATAAGGTTACAAGGAGTAAATAGATACCCAACATGCCCAAGTTAAAAACTGCGTGCATCCATGAAACATTTACAAATTATGGCACCCCAAATTGTTCATAGGCAACACTTTGAAAGCCCCCACTTGTCATCAGTTTTCAAGTTATCCATGAGTATTGGCCCTAAAATTATTGCTCTCACTCTGGCACACATGGTGATACCCAACATGTGTAGCGCTATAGTCGTTTTCGTACATAGGGTCACCCAACGCATTATTAACCCTAATAGACTTAACATTTTTTTCCATTTATTGTATTTAATCTTATTTACACTTTTTTGGTCTTTACTTAAAGTGACATTAAACCCTCAGATTTTTTAACATAAAACAATACTGTAATGTGTGCCTTACTGTAATCCATGGTTGTTTCCCTTCTCTTTGCTGCTCTTCCTTTTAAATCCGTATCTCTTCTCATGCTTGGGGAGAACTTCTGTTTTGCAGCAGACTGCCTTGTCTCTGAAATGGATACATGGTGTCTGTGTGTAGGTCCACAACCTGAGCAAGCACTACAGGAAGAGGCACTCAGCTGCAAAGGGAAGTTCTCCCCCAGCATGAGAAGAGATACGGATTTAAAAGGAAGAGCAGCAAAGAGAAGGGAAACAACCATGGATTACAGTAAGGCACACATTACACTATTGTTTTATGTTAAAAAATCTGAGGGTTTAATGTCACTTTAAAGGAGAACTATGAGGTGAGCGATTTCCACTCATCCTCATAGTTAGAGCCGACCTGTGACAAAGAACCTGTCACAGGTCGGTTCTTTTGATCGGGAAGTGAGCATGCAGTCGATCCGCTCACTTCCCGATCATCTCCTTGCATTGAGTGGTGACTGTCATTCACAGCTCCATGCAGGGATTCCCCACCCTCCCCGCTGAATGGAGGAACGGACGGGGAAGGCACAGCTCTAGATAGGCAGAGCCAGTATTGTCGGGATATGTTCCGGCTGGGGCACACTCAGTATATTGCGTGCAATAGCCTGCTTTATACTGAACTTTGGATCACGGGAAGAGGTTAGTATATGTCCTCCGGTGACCCTAAGAGATCTATGGGGAAAAACACTTACCGCATAGTTCTCTTTTAATTGCTATCACATAAGGAGGCTTACAATCCCCCTACGTGATAGCATATAAACGGTGACAGGTACTCTTTATGGCGATATTAGGTGTCAATTAGACCTCTGTCAGCTTTGCACTCCAAATAAGCTATTGGAGCACAGATCGCACTTCAATAGCTTATTACCCAGCTTCCATAGCTGAGCAATGACAGCTGAGGGACCGGAATTGATGCCTCATTGTCACTTCTGGTCCCGTAAAGCACGGAGGAGATCGGCGAATGGATGTTTGGCGGTCTCCTTCCCCGCCGACATGCCGTTCCCGTAGGAAGGGCAGCAGAGTCCGGGAAGCAAGTCAGGGGTGTTGGGCGGGGCGCACTGTCGAACAGTCACGGAGTCACCCACCACTGCTGATGCCATTGTTTTCTAATGGCACCCCAGTCGTGCTGGGCGGCTTGCGCGCAATTTCGCCCATACAATTGAACATGTACTCAGCTTTAAAAAAAAAAAAAAAGCAGTGCATCGTATGTTGCAAAAAAAAAAGGTATATGCACCTTCTTTTCAGCGATTGCCACACGTATGTAACCCTATTGAAATCAATGGGGCCGCGCGGCAACCACTGTGTGCGCCCACACACGATCATGCGGTCCCAGGATCGCTCAGGCCTGAACCTAGCCTGAAATGTATTAATTTTCAGTGTCTGTGCTGTGGATATCCATTTATCGATGCATCCTTGGGTGTGAATGGGCTCTAAGTGTATAACTCTCTGTTTCCAGCTGCTGCTCTCCAACTAGTCCTTGGACCTGCATTTGCAGGCATATTCTAAATTTTGATCTTGTTACACATTTTTTGTGCTGCATGGGTTCATTGTGCTTGGGGTAATGACTCCACCTACTGTTTGGAGGTTGGGAGTATATACAATTTTATATGTGAATGGGTTTATTAGCTGTGACTACGGCCCAGGGATCGAGCTGAAACGGGTAAACCGTTTTTATGCCGAAATCAAATAAAGTGATATTTGGAGAAGATCCCAGTAAGTGTGTCTGTGATTTAGCATTATGGACTGTCAAGGTGGAGCAGGAACCTTTGCTATGCATGGGGCTCCCTGCAGGCATGCAGATTTGACAGGAGGAGGTCTGAGCTGGTTGGAAAAAAACAGAAATGTGTACATTACAAGGCACCTTATGTATGAAAGGTGCACATCCAGTGTCAGGATTGGAGGTCTCCTCCTTGATGTAGCGCAGAACAGTCATTGCATCAGCAGCACACCCTATTTATAGTTTATCAGCGGTCATAGAAATATCCTGCACATCCATGGCCACATACTTCTTGGTACTGATCTACATTATACCGACCAGCTCAGCAACACAGAACTACACATTCAGGACTTCTCATTGAAAGGACAACGATGAATGAGCACAGCTGGTAACCAAACAAAGCACAACGACGAGCACACTATTCATCCCAGAAATGGTTCCACCATCTGACAAGACACAGATCTCACCCTAACATTACCTGGCTCTCCCCCTGAGCTCGGCTGCTGTACTTTCCTGCCTTTAACCCCAGACATTTCTCCAGCGCAGACAGCTCTTCCACCGCCATCTTGGTTGGCAAGTCACACACAACACACGCTGCCAACCACACTGCACAAGCCTGTTCCGCCCCTTCTGAACCTGATCACACCCGATTGGTTCCAAAACTCTCCCCTCACCACCGCATGTGATTGGTTGTAGTAAAGAGGGGCGGGGCGCCTGCTGCTGACAGCAAATGAATGAATTCGGGTGCTTACACGTGGTAGGAATACGGCTCTTGCTGGTCGGGTCGCAGCTTCTGTATGTGAATGGAGGCGAACTGTGCTCATTGATGTCTCAACCAATGTAGATGTGTACATACGAGATGGGATAAAGGGGCGACCTGAGAGGTCGAGCCTGACATTATTAGGAGGGGGTAGACAGAGGTGAATGTAAGCAATGGTGGAACAATAGCCACCTTGATACCAGAGCAATTGCTTCATTTTTGCACACATAATACAATCTGGGGTGTTAAATAGAAAATGAGTTTAAAACCCCAAAGAAGTATACATTTTCTGAAAGCAGAGGCCCTGTAGAATTCAAAATAATGCCAGCTTCATTTTTTTATGCTGCACCATATTTGTGCAAACGTTTATCAAATCGATATTTTAAAGGAGAACTATGGGGTGACATTGTGTTCCATAGTTCCCTTTTGGGTCACGGGAAGACATATGCTATGTCCTCCCGTGACCCAAAACTCAGCATATAGCGAGCTATTGCCCACTATATGCTCAGAGCCCCCAGCCAGGACAGATCCTGACACTGTCCAGATCCACCCAGCTGGCTGATTGACAGCGGGCTCTGCCTATCTAGTGGCAGAGCCAGCTATGCTCGCCCCCTCCCCTGTCCCTCCCTCCAGTCTGGAGGATCAGAGCGGGGAGGGGGGGAATCCCTGCGGGGAGCAGTGACTAACAGTCACCGCTGTTTGCTGGGAGATGATCGGGAAGTGAGCGGATCAGCTGTATGTTTTCGCTCACTTTCCGATCAATAGAGCCAACTTGTGACAGTTTCAATGTCACACGTCGTCTTTAACTATGAGGATGAGTGTAATTTACTCACCCCATAGTTATTGAAGGAAAAAAAACCACTTAAATGAATTTTAGTGCACACAAACACAATCTAATACCCTTTATTTTGGTAAAATATAAAAGATGGGGTTACATGGAGTAAATAGATACCAAAACATGTCAAGCGTTAAAACTGCCTGTGCAAAGGCAAAAACCTATGGTACTCAAAATCACCCATGGGCGACGGTTTAAATACTTTTACCGCTCCTCGGTTTAGAATTAAGCGTGAATTAAGAACCTAGAATTATTGCTCTCACTCAAATGATCACGGTGATACCTAACGTGTGACACAATCGTCGCTTACATACAAGTGCATGCCCTATACGCACGTTTTCTTTCACAAAGATTTTATTAGAGAATTAACAAAACAGAAATCTTGACTAATGACAGAGGGTGGATGGAGACAATGTACGGGTAGACACTGAAGAGATAAACGTAAGTGCAATAAGTATATGAGAAAAACATATTACGGTGTAAAGCTAAAAGGTCCACTGAAATATGACATAAATAAAAAAAAAAAGGGGGGTGTGTTTTTATTTGCATGCAGATAGCAGGGTTAGTTTTAATTTCTTTTAACATTTTTATTTCTTTTACTATTTTTTACTTTTTTGTCACTTTTTACATTTTTGTTTCACTTAACTGTATTGTTATAGCACAGGGATTAACAAGCCCCTATGTGATAGCGTTTGGAGGTGACAGGTTCACTTTATGGAGACATGTGGGGTATATTTGACCCCTTATGTCTCCCCTGGACTCCAATACAGGGAATTCAGCACATTGTGCACGATCCCTTGTGCAACCGTAACGTCAGCTTGAGCAGATTGAGTAATGAAGGTTCCCTGGTCTGCTTCAGCTCTTCATCGTGAATGTATTTGCTATGGTCTCAGGTCCCCAAGAGGAGCAGGGGACCCCAAAAAAACTATGGAAGCAGGGAGAGGGTGCCACCTATGCAGGCTGCTACATGTGAAAACGAGAATTGCTTTCTGAAAAACTGCAGCAGCAGATACCAGAAGCAGCCATGATCTGGGTATAACCTCTTCAAGACCAGGATTTACAGATATGTCCTAAGGTTTTAAGACGTTTGTATTAGGGTTGAAGAGTAAGTGTGTGCAAGAGCAATAATCATTCTGTCTGCATGCAGGGGCAATCATCTATCCTGATCAGCAGGTAATCATTGCATGTACGATTACTTGCGGACCACCACTGACAGATACTGCCTCTGTCAACCTGTCATTCATTTGAACAGCAAAGCGGCCACGTCTGAGATTCCTGTAGAATCTGTAGGTTCTTGCAGCAGGAATCCCCAGTGCAGCCAAAAGACCCCTTTTCAAAGGGTCCCCTGCCCGTTCCATTTTGCTTGGGGTTTGCATGGCTACAGTGTTATCCATGGGCCAGGGGATGCAATTTTACACTTCACCTCAGGCAGCAGAAAGGCAAGGAACACCCTGGATTAAGTTCTACTCTATGGGAGGATTCTGCGTAATAGTCTCACTTCCTCTTTCAGCTCACACTTCCAATGTATAGGAGAACTTTGCAGCCCACTCAGAAGGAGGAAGTGAAAACATGGCATAGTGTATGGTCAGCTTATATTGTAATCGGATTGTACAATCTCTAAAAATGGCATACACTAAACAAACTGTACAATCTCCTCCAAAATTATGCAATATCGGGGCTTGTTCACACCAAATGCAGACCAGATCTGCATGAGTTTCTGCACACACTGCACTGTGTTATACTGCGTTTTTTGCCGTGTTTTTGAAGCGTTCTGGGCCGCTTTTGGTATAAAAAATGGGATTACAGTGCGTTCCAGGACATTTGCATGCGTGTTTGATGCGTTTGCATGCATTCCAGAGCAGGTAAAATAGGGCTTGCTGCAGTTTTTTTTTACATGCTCTGGAACTGAACGCTGCGGTGTGAACTAGAGCCCAAAATACCATTGGAATACATTGGATGCAGTTTTGATCCGGTCTGTAAGTGCTCTGCTCCTGGAACGCGCTTGGTGTGAACAAGCCTTCAGGACAAACCTAAACAACCAAAACAATTCAATTAGTATCTAATCTGGCCGGCCCTTAAACTACATAGTTGATGGTAGATCTAAAGGAGATTGTACAATCAAATTCTATCAGTATATTGATTAGGCGGCATTCATTACCTGTGAGTGTGCGTGTGTACATGCGATTTTTGGATTGTTGTGTGTGTGTGATTTTTGGATTGTTGTGTGTGTGTGAGAGTTTTGTCAGATGGTTGCTTACCTTTGAAAAACACTAATTTTCAGGGGTTTTTCAGTCACTTCCATTCATCTCTATGGGGCCAAAAAACCCTAATACATTTTCAAATGTAGCTCATGTACCCTTTTGAGCATCAGGTGTCACACTTCAGTTGCATGAGCGCTCATATGTTAACTGCACAATTAAAAAGCACGGGGTTTTGGTTGTTGAGCATTTTGGAGCTTCAAGCTACAAAATGCTCAGGTAGGAATCAGGGTTTGGGATTGCAAGGACGCAAAGTCTTTTTGGGAGTGAAACTCATTATAAAGTGATATTAGTGTCAAAAGGTTGTAAAGCCATTTCAAATGCTGAAGAAATCACTTACAATGAATGCTGCTCCTTGATGTGTAAAAGTTTTAGCTTCCTGCAGAATCAGCTGGTCCCCTGAGCACTGGTCCTGATATTCTGTTTTATGGTGGCTCCTTTCCCTTTCAGGGTCCTATGGAGCCTCCATTGTGTGTGCTAGTGAACTGTTGTGTGTCTCCACAAACACACAGACACAGCAAGGCAAGACAATCCCCTCCTCTCTGAACTCCTTCCTCCAAGCTAGTAGATGGACAGCTGCCGGGGACTGTATTGTCCCTCTATTGTGATCTTGGAAGAAGTTCATGGAAGTTGAGCTGAGAGAGTTTAAGACAGCTGGAAGGGCAAACGTTTAAAGAAATACTTTGCTGGGAAATGCATATTTGTTTGATCTGTATTAACTATTAAAAAAAGGGTTTAATACTACTTTAACATTTTTTTTTTTTAGATTAATGGCTAGTCTAAATGAATCGGCTTACACTACATACATCTCTAATTGATTATACATACGTTTCTGGACATGTAGCAATTCCGCTTTCTCATACAAAACTCCTTCTGCGATGTTCTTATTACTGCATAATAGACAACGTAGCACCGGAATAGGCAATTACCTCCTACAATGCAGCCATAACATTCACCAGCAGCCAAATCTATATAGTCCTAGTTATTACACCAGAGATTGAGTAGGTGATATTCCATGAGGATATCATACATTTATGTCAGTAGACGGTCTGCCCTCTACTGGCTCTATCATAGTAATACAAGATGTCATCTTTAGTAATTAGCTCTGCCTTATTGAAATAAAGGACAATATGGTAGAAAGTGTTCATCAATTTTTAAACAGTTTATTTGGCAATCAAGAGATGTTATGTAAAGCCGTTTGGGGCATTGCACAAATTTAAAGTGCATGTATAGCTAAAGATTTGATAGTTTTGGATAGAGGAGGGAAGGGTTAAATCCCCTGCTAGTTTATTTTTTACTGTCTGTGTACCATTAAATAAAGGTCCCTTCACTTCCTGCCCCAGAGGTGCAACAGGAAGTTGGGGGAAATCTTCCAAAGTGAGTGGAATTTGCTTCTTAGACAAGTGTCCCCATTGAAAGATTTCTCGTTACCTCTTCCTTTGGGGATAACTACAATTTTGGATTTCCCCTCACTTTCTTTCTAGGTGACAATGGTTACCAGTAAAAACAGAGGGGCAAATCTCCCCAATAGGGACAAAGACAGCAATAAAAGATAGACAGAGGGTCTAACACTTCCCCTTTTTATCTATAACTAACAAAAATGGTTTTGCCTAGAGAAACATTTACAGTGCTATTCACAAAAGGGTCAAGAGTTTGGAGAAGTGAACAATCTAGGACAACATAGCTGACTTGGAAAAATTCTCCAATTCAGCTCACTTTCCAGTTCAGCCATGTCGTCCTAGATTGATCACTTCTCCTGCCTTCTTCAAACGCTTCCCC